ACTCCCATTCGGTATCCAGATCCATCTCCACCGCGCAGCAAAGAATCCAGGCCACGCAGGTTGCGCGTGTCCAGCCCTTGACCACGTCCACCATGCATGGTCGCATCGCCACGGCGGCTCCTGCGCAGAATGAGCTTTGGCCAAGCATCTGTGCAAACTTGAAAGTCATGTCCTTGATTGTCTTTGTTGCCCTGGTAGGGAACCTGGGCTCATGATAGACAAGCGTTTGATTATGAACTTCTGGCACAGCTGGCAGCTGAATGCTGTTTAGCTGCACTCACATCCAGGGGTTCACGTGCCAAATCTACTCCTGATCCAATCATAGACACGAAAGTAGTTGTCCATGCATCCACGGATGGATAGCCAGAACTTGGCGGGGTCAGCCTGTGATCGCACAAAGATGGTTTCACAAAACTTTCACTGACGCAGAAGATTCTGTCATGGAGCTTCAAAGTGGCCAACGGAAACTTCATGGTTGTGCCGGAGCAGCTGGCATCGATGGCCTTGGGAGGCACGAAGACAGAATGCTCCGAGTGCATGCCAAACGTCTTCAGAATCGACTAAGTAGAAGACAACCTCATCAACACCCTTGTAGATCTCGGCACTTCGGCCCAGCTTCTGGGAGAAGCTCTTGAACCATTCTTGCATGTGCCGAAGATAAGACATCGCGTTGGGTCCTTCAAATCGATCAACCACGCTTTGCGCTGGATGGGCACCGGAGAGGTTGGTCTCATGACCAAAGCTGAGCACTTCCTCCAACATTTCCTTAGTACTCTAAAATGCGAATCAAGAACACATGTTTTCATCATCGCCATGCAATTTTTCAAGGTAATGTCATCCAAGTATCTCGCACAACGCTAACATCTCCATCCATGCCTTTCAACTTCTTTTCCATGTCCGTGGCCAACTTCTTGGAAGGGCCGGGAATCAGTTTCTTCTCCACCTTCACCCCTTCATCACCCTTTTCCACTTTCTTCTCTTCTTCACATTTCATCGCTTTCGAAGTCTTCACAGATGCCAAGAAATCGTTCGTCATGGCGTGGAGTAGAAGAAGTCACAGAACAATCAAATGTCCAATGTGAAAGCAACGCAAAAGCATTCTGACATGACATGGGCATGTTAAGGGCAATCAAAGTGCAATGAGAAAGCATTAATGTCGATGTCCTCTTTGCATCTCTTCTATGAACTCTTGAAGAGCACTTGGGAGAGAGCAGATGCTGCAGACAGCATGAGGTACGCGAACGACTTATGGGTTCCAGGTGCATTGATTTTTATGTTGGAACCCAAGAAAGAAATCAATGCACCTGGAGCCTCCAGGTGCATTGACTTTGGTGTTTGTGAGCCTGGAGCATTGATTTCAATTTTGGTTTTCGATTTCGGAATCAATGCACGGCCCTTCTACCAATGGAAATCAATGCACCTGG